CATGTCAGTGCTGCTGCCGCCGCCGCCGCCAAAGGTGGACTACTCGAAAAAGCAGGCGACAAACAGTCGCATCTACGGCGACGTGTTGCACTACATCAAAAACGCGGAATGTGCAAATGAGATGGTCGAGCATATGCTGGAAAAAGTTGAGGCTCGGCTGTCGTCGGTATCCGCTGAAATCCGCAGCGTCGCCCATCATTTAGTAGCTGCTGTCGAGGAACGTCGCGATGCGCTGTTGCAGCAGGTGGAGACGGTTCGTGGTAGAAAGGGTCAGGTGCTGAATGCGCAACGCGACAAGCTGCATCAGTACCTTTCAAAGTTAAACGCTATCCTGTCTAGTCTCGAGTTCTGGTCTCCCGACAGCCCCGAGTACGAAACGAAGGCACGCACCATCCTCAAAGAGCAGTGCGGTAACATCAACGGCTTGCAGCCGCTGCTTAGCCCGCAGGAGGACGACAAAGTCGTCTTCATACCTCCCGATGCTAACCTATGCACGATCCTTGCTAGCTTCGGCTTTATCCTTTCCGGGGCGTACGCACCTAATTCCGTCATTGTTGGTGAAGTCAGTCGGCATGCCACGAAAGGTAAGAATTTGATTATAATCGTAATCATCATCACCCATCTTCGTTAACATCATTATCCTCGTTTCCTTCCTCCTCTTCATTATCATTACGAATATGCTTTTTTTGTTGTTGATCAGTTGCCTCGTGGTTCCTCATATTACGCTGTCGGCAACAACAAAACTATTTGTGTGATTGTTCATAGACTGATGGCCAGCCTAGCGTACCTATTTTTTCGTGGTTATTATCCTTACATAAATACAACTGCCTGCAGCAACAGTGACTATGGTAAATGTCGTCTTTCGTTCGGATCGATGACGATTCGCTGTACGAACTGGACAGTGTTATTATGCAAAAAAATTTCTAAACTTTGTTATCTGTTCATAAAAAGCTGCTTGTCTTTCAGACATTGAAAGGTAAAAAAGCCAGATTTAAAATGCCAAATTTCTATTGGCATAAAGAAGAACAAGAGAAACGGATTAATTAACTGAAGGAGGAGAAGAACGGAAAACTTATCAGCGTAATACGCATAACTGTAAGAAGGAATAACGCAAAAGGCGGTTCATAATTGCCTTGTGCTTTGCGAATGAGTGTATGCATTCATTGTTTCTGTTCATCTGAGTCTACGACCGAATCTTGCTGAGGTAGGGGGATCAGCGAAAGAG